CACCCAGTTTGTCAGGAATGGCAGATTATCCCTAACTTTACTTATTGCCTGAGTTCAATCTTCTAGGGGGTGAGGGTTTCCAGTGTTCCTTCTGCTCTGAAAAGTATTGTTTAATTTATTTTTATTTTTTTATTTTTTATTTTTCGAGACAGGGTTTCTCTGTGGCTTTGGAGGCTGTCCTGGAACTCGCTCTGTAGACCAGCCTGGCCTTGAACTCACAGAGATCCGCCTGCCTCTGCCTCCCGAGTGCTGGGATTAAAGGCGTGCGCCACCAACGCCCGGCTTATTGTTTAATTTAAATTATTTCATGTATTTACTTTTTTTATGAGACACTATCTCACTTTGTAGCCTACACTGTCTATGTAGTCCAGGGTGAGCACAAACGTATGGCAAACAGTCTTCAGGACCCAACACATGAGCCTAAATCCTTTTGATTTTTAAAAGTGTTGGGGGGGGGACTAACCCTCATGTCTTACATGTTAGACCATCACTTCGTCATTGAGCTATATCCCCAGCCCTTTTTACATTTTTTCTTTAAATTTTGAGAGGGTCCTACTTTGGCAGGGCATGATGGCACATGGGCTTAATCCCAGCACTCTGGAAGCAGAGACAGGCAGATCTGCCTCTGAGTCGGAGTCTAGCCTGGTCTATACAGTGAGTTCAGGGCAGCCAATGCTACATAGTGAGACATACCCCATTCTACCCAAAAAAAATTAAATAAAAAAGACAAAATAAAATAAAATAAAGCTGGGTGTGGTGCATTTGGGAGGTAGAAACAGGAGGATCGGGAATTCAAGGATAGCCTTGTCTTTATAGAAAGTTCTAGACCAGCTTGGACTACATGAGACTGTATCAAAAACAAAATCAAGGCCAGGCAGTGGTGGTACACACCTTTAATCCCAGTACTTGGCAGGCAAAGGTAGGTGGATCTCTGTGAGTTCAAGGCCAGCCTGGTCTACAGAGTGAGTTCCAGGACAGTCAGGGCTACATAGAGAAACTGTCTTGAAAAACCAAAACAACAAAATAAAATAAATAAAACAAAAATCCATAAATAAAACTGGGGCAAGCATGCTGGTTAGTTTTTTGTTGACTTGACATAAGCTAGTCAGCTAGTCATCTGGGAAGAACCTGAACTGACTGAAAAAATGCCTCCATCAGACTGGCCTGGAAGCAAATCTGCTGGAGTGTTTTCTTTACTGATGATTGATACGGAAAGTCTAAACCATTGTGGGCAAGGCCACCCCTGGGCTGGTGACCCTGGGCTGAGCAAGGCATGGGAGCAAGCAAGTAAGTCTTCCCTGGGCTCTGCTTCAGTTTCTGGCCCTGACTCCCTTCATGATGGACTGTGAGACACGTAAAACAATAAACCCTTTCCTCCCCCAAGTTGCTTTTGGTCATGGTGCTTATCACAGGAACAGAAGCAAACTAGGAAAGCGGCTGTGCTTGCTGAATGAGCCCGGCATGAGTGTTCACACAGACATCGTACGGACACACAATAACAATGATAAAGTTAAAATAAACAGGCTCTGACGCCCTCTCCTGGTCTCTATAGGCACTTGCACACATCTACAATACAAGAACACACACACACACACACACACACACACATACAATCAGTTCTTAAATAAGTGCCAGGTGGTGGCGGTGCATGCCTCTAATCTCAGCACCAGGGAGGCAGAGACGCAGGTGGAGTTCGAGGGCAGCCTGGTCTACAGAGCGAGTTCCAGAATGGCTAACGCTACACAGAGAAACCCTGTCCTGAAAAACGAACAAAAATAAATAAATAGAACAACTAGAAGGGTCCTTTCTACTTTAAAGTCTGAACCATAAAATGCAAGGGCAATGAGGCAAATGTCTGACTCATTTCAGAGCCATTTGCCAAGCATGTGAAGAGGGAGGGGACAGAGGGAAGCACTGGGTCTTACTCTTTCATATTTTTAACCTTGTGAGCTGGTCCTTTGAAGGCAGCATCTCAAAAGCACTTCTGAAGGCATTCTTGTTGTTGTCATTTGTTGTTGAGCAGTCTCACTATGTGGCCCTGCTCACTGTGTAGACCAGGCTGTCCTTGAAATTCCAGGTCCTCCTGCCTCCTGAGTGAAGACGACAAGGGTGTGCCAGCATGTCCAGCTTCCGTAGATGTTTTTAGAGCAAATGTCTTACTGTTTTGTTTGGGTTTTGTCTTGGCTTTTGAGACAGGCTCTCACTATGTAGCCCTGGCTAGCCTGGATCTTGCTATGTAGACCAGGATGGCTTACACTCGGGGATCTGCCTGGCTCTGCCTCCTAAGTGTTGTGATTTAAAGTGAGTGCCTGCATTGCTGTCCTTTGTCACATATACCAAACACAATCTTGTCTTGCTTAGTGGTGTTTTTGAGACTAACTTCTGGACCTCAAAACATTCAGTAGCAAAGACTGAAGAATCAATCCATGGCCGAGAGAAAGATGCCAGCCAGCTCATCCAAATCCATCTTGCCATCATCGGGATATTAGACCTTTCAGTTCTGCCAAGGTCGTGATCAGGCCAACAGGGCATGTCTTGTGGGGCTGCTCATGTTCTCTAAGGAGACATCTGAAATGGTCAGGAATGAGCCATAGGAGGCGGGCCTGAGTCAGATGCCAGCTCTCACACTGCAACCTGACAAGATGCCTGACTAACAAGTTCCAGTCTCCTCATCTGATAAATACAGACGATTACGACCTCATCACAGGTGAGGCCCAGGCAAGAATGCCCTGAGTATGTGGCCAGCCTGGACTATAAAATGAGACCCAATCTAAAAAAACACAAACAAAAAACATAAATACATCATGGAATTGTTGAGAGGATGAGCTAATACAAGCAGATTGCTAAACAACGAGTTATTACGTGCAGCTTGTTAACTAGCCCATGAAAATGCAAACCAGGCTTGCCTGTAAGCCCTTATTAAAGCGAATTCCTTTTCTCTGCGGTGCACTGCCTTTGAGTCAAGGTCTTACATGTGTACCCAAGGATGACCTTCAACTCCTGATTCTCTTTCCTCCATCTCCAGAGGGCTAGAAATATGAGTGCGTGCTATACCCAGGTTAAAAAAAAAATACTTTCTAAATGTACTTGTGCTAGATTTCAAATAATGTACACCTGGAAATAAAGGAGCCAAATCCTAAATCACACAGGAAAAGGGGAGTTTTGAGTTTGGAAGCAAATCATGGTTCAATCTAGAGAGAAGAGGATGTCTGACTAAAGATAAACATCAATGGGCTGGAGGGATGGCGCATCAGTTAGGAGACATATTGTTCTTGTAGTGGAACCCAATATGGTTCCCAGCACCTGTGTTTGGTGGCTCACAAGAGCCTGTAAGTCCGGCCCCAGAGGATCTGATGCCAATGTCTAGCCTCTGTGGGCACCCACACACATACGCATAGGTCAAAGGTTTTTTTTTAACTGCAATTATAATAAAAGGCCTCATGTCTGACTTTATAGGAGAAAATGTAGCCAAATCTTGCCCTTAGTGTCCTGGTCACAGTAGGGCCAGCATTTGAAGGTATCTGTGAATTACACAGCACAGAAAAATGTCATTCCTGTTTTTGGCAAGCTTAGCAAGGATGCTTGCTCCTTTGCCTGTAGATGACTTAGAGAAGGGAGGTATGAGCCCTAGGAACTGTGTGGATGGGTCACAGGTATGGGGGAAATATTACATTGATTTCAAGGCTTAGACCAGTAAGAAGGTTCAGCGGAAGAAGGTGCTTATTGTAAGCCTAATGACCTAAGAGCAAGTTCCAGAACCCACACAGTAGAAGGTGAGAGCGGACGAGAGCGGACCCCTGCAAGTTGTCTTCTGATCTCCCCGGGGCACCCCACCACCATCAATGACACAACGGGCTTTCATGGCTTCACTAGCTGCTTGGATTAGGGCTGAAAACAAGGAAAGGCAAGGAATGGAGGCGACTCCAGCATTCTCTCCCAAAGCAGGATTAAGCCCATCACAGGAGGCTTCCCGGCTAGTTCCATTAGGCTCCAATGGATGGCCAAGGGCCAGTGCCCTGCCCTCCTCTTTCAGGAGGTGACACGCAAATGCATACTGTGTTGCTTGGCTGAGAAACACAAGTTCTTGAAATGTACCACTTATGGGGGGATTTCAGTGGAACAGGAGGCCACAGTTACAAAAATTCAGTAGGGAAAAAGCAAAAAAAAAATAAAAAAAATAAAAAAATAAAGCAAGAAAGAACCAAAAATAGAAGAGTGTGTATACTGATGATAGAGAAAAGTAGCAAAGTGCTTTTAATTTTTCTTTTATATGTATAAAGTGTGTGCACACACAAGTGCATGCGTGCCACAACACTTGTGTGGAGACCAGAAGACAACTTGCAGGAGCTGGTTCTCTCCTTCCACCATGTGGATTACACGGACTGAACTCAAGTTGTCAGGCTAGGTGGTAAGAATCCTTACCCTCTGAGCCATCGTCCCCATTCAGGGAAGAACTTTCAAACAGAAGAACAGACATGTTTTTGTTTTTAATTTTATGTGTACAGGTGTTCTGTCTGCATAAATGCCTGTGCACCACAAGTGTATAGAGTCCTGAGAGGCAAAAAGAGGTCACTGAATCCCCTGAAACTAATGGTGACTGTGAGCTGCCGTGTGGGTGCTGCCGTTTGAATTTGGGTCCTCGGAAGACCAACCAGTGCTCTTAACCCCAAAGCCATCTCTCCAGCCCAGGAAAGACCTTCTCATGGGCATCTGATGGGGGGGCGCACTAACATGGGCATCTGATGGGGGGGAGCACTAACATGGGCATCTGAAGGGGGGAGCACTAACATGGGCATCTGATGGTGGGAGCACTAACATGGGCATCTGATGGGGGAGCACTAACATGGGCATCTGATGGGGGGAGCACTAACATGGGCATCTGATGGGGGAGCACTACTGACCAGCCGGAAGCACTAGAACAGAGCCCACAGAAAGCAGTCAACCATGCATGAACTTTACAAAACAGACAGTTGAGTGAAAACTAAGTAAACCACTCCCTCTTTATATTTAAAGCTTTTTAATCTCCGGCACATAACAGTGAAGGAATTCTTAGAAATCAGACAAAAGTGTTTGGTGGGTTTGAATTGATGGGCCAGGCAAGCTTCTTTTCCCCTGGCCTCTCGGTCAAATGAGTCATAGACGGAGTCTTTGGTTATCGTCCTGCTCATGGGAGGGATTTCGGAAATGCCAACATAGTTTCTTTTGGCCACCCTTGAGCTGGTTGTGATAGTGTAGGCATTGCTGCGGTAACATTTCATCGAGGACATGCAGAAAGTCTCTTTCATCCCTCTGCGGAAATTGGCATTATAAATGGAGTAGAGAGTAGGCTTCGAGGCTGAAGAGCTAAAGGACACCCACGTGACCGCTGTGAAGACAAGGGAGCTCTTCTTGTAGTCTTGCTCATGGGGGTGCCAGAGCTGAGCCACATGGAAAGGCAGCCAGGAGAACAGAAACACCGCGTTCAAGAGGAGAAACATCTTGACCGTTTTCACCTTTGTCCTGGGGACAATGTTCATCGTCCTCCTCAGGGTCCGCCCATCAGTGCCTATTCTCCAGATATACTTTATGACCTTCTGGTAAAATAAGATTATGAGGATAGAGGGAATCACAAAGCCCACCAAGAAGTGGATGACAGTGTAGGCAGTTCCCTCCCAGGAAGGAGGGAGGAAGTAGTTACAATGGCTGTCCCAGTTGGAGCCATAGAAAAAGAAGACAGGCGTCACAAAGGCTGCATCTAAGATCCAGGAGGCTGCGATCATCTTCTTGGCCTTTTCTCTGGACACCTTGAAGCTCAGAGGGTAGACGATGGTATAGAACCGGTCTATGCAGATGGAGAGGAGCACGTAGATCTGCACGCCCGGAGTGAGATACTGGAAGTAGCGCACGACTTTGCACATGGCACTGCCGAGGGTCCACCTTCCCGTGGTGAACTGCAGCAGGACAAATGGTGTGCTGGCCACGCTGATGAGGAGGTCAGCACAAGCCATGGAGACCACAAAGTAGTTGGTGGTGGACTGAGTCCTCCGGCTCCTGTGGATGACCAGACACACCAGGGAATTACCAAAGATAGAAAACAACCACAGAGCACCGAAGAAAATGCTGGCTGTGGCCACCTCTCCAGGGTTGAGTCCATACTGAAGGTCTGTCCTGTTGCTCATCCAGTCATGCTCCTCAGGGAATCCCATCAGGCCATGGGGCAGCAGGGCCTCAGCTGCTTCCACGAAGCTGTGGTTCTGAAGGGGCGCCAGCAGGGTAGCAGCAAGCACAGGTGGCTGGTCGTTATCCATTCTGTGAGCAAAGACCATAGTCACTCTGTTCCTCTCAGTTCTGGATAGGACAAGAAGAACGAAGCCTCCTGTTAAAATGGTGTCGTGTAAGCTGCCTACTTAGACAAGTCTTTGTAGAATACTCACCGGTTGGCACTGGGCTTCATAAAGACATCTCATTCAAGCAAGTCGTGCGCTTGATCACACGTACCCTCCAAAACTTCCTTTTTTCCCTTCTTTTGCAAATGCTAGTCTCTTTCTTCTCCCAGAAAGTCTTGCTTCTGCCCCCCACCTCTCTCTCTCTCTCTCTCTCTCTCTCTCTCTCTCTCTCTCTCTCTCTCTCTCTCTCTCTCTCTCTCTCTCTCTCTCTCTCTCTCTCTCTCTCTCTCTCTCTCTCTCTCTCTCTCTCTCTCTCTCTCTCTCTCTCTCTCTCTCTCTCCCACCCACACACACACCACTGATGATTTTCTGTATCTATTCAAAGCCTAGGATATAGAGAAAAAATATGATACTTGTCTGTGTCTGAGTTGTTTGCTATTAGGATCTCCACCTCCATTCGCTTTCCTGTAAATGATATCATTTCACTCTTTGATGGATGAATAGGACTCTACTGTGCTCATATGTATATGTATGTGAATAGATACATACATATATGTGTATTTATATGTATGTATGTATGACATTTTTTTAATTCATCTGTTGACTGATTCCTATTTCCACATCTTGGCTGTGGTGACTTGTGCTGCAGTAAACACAGATGTGCAGGTACCTCTGTGGTGAGCCAACTTACAGTCCTTTCTGTGTATTGCCCCGGAGTGGCAAAAAGACTGTCCACCATATTTGACACTGAGCTTGGTGGTCGTTTGTCAATGATTAGAACTTGTGAACTGGTAAGAAAATGTAACTACTAGGCTGGGTGTGGAGAGCTCTGAGTTTCTGGACAGGCAAGGTGAGGCAGACACAGTGTCTCAAAAAAGGGGGAAGGAAAGGAAGAAGGGAGGGAAGGAAGGAGGGAGGGAGGGAGGGAGGGAGAGAGGGAGGCAGGGAGGGAGGGAGGGAGGCAGGGAGGGAGGGAGGGGGAGGGAAGACCCTCAGAAAGGCATGGGAGAAAAAAATCCTGGTAAAATAGCAGAGGGTAAATTCAGAGGATACCCTTCTGGGCTGATCTTTGAAGCCCCTTTCTCCTTAAGGGACACAGCTTCCTTCACAGCACACCTCCTAAGACATTTTTCTTTGTATTTGTGTGTCTGTATGTGAAGTGCATTTGTCTGTGTGTGGACATCTGGTGTCTCCCTTACTCACTCTTCTCTGTGTTACATTTTAAAATAAATATGGGTAAGCTGTAATAGCCACACATAGATTAATGTGTATGAGCGTTTTTTCTATTTGCATGTATGTGCACTGTGTGCATGCCTGGTGTCTTCAGCAGTCAGAAGAGGGCGCTGGATCCCCTGGAACCGGAGTTACAGGCAGTTATAAACCACAACGTGTATGCTGGGAACCAAAGCTGGGGTATCTGTCTGAGCAATGACCGCTCTTAAGCACAGAGTTACCTCTTCAGGCCCTCCACTGCAGTTTTTGACATAGGTTCAGTCCTCCTGTCTCCTCTCTGCACCAGAGACAACAGGACCACTCCGCAGTGCCAGCCCTTCAGTTGGGTTCTGGGAGATCAAGTCAGGTCCTCGTGTTTGCATGGCAAGTACTTCACTGACTGAGCCACCTCTCCAGCCCCCAAAGTGTACGTTTGGTAGATGCTTTGCAATCAAATTGACCTAAGACTTCCCAGGCTATCAATGAAGGCTCACTTGTGGGCTGAAATGTAACTGGAGCGTAGGTTAGCCTGTCTAGAATGGCTGTGGTGCCCTGTTGACTCAGCACTAAACCCTTCACTAAGTGTTCCCTGTTTGTTTTACTCTGGCTTAGCAATACACTGGACTCTCCCAGAAACCTCTAAAACAAGCTGATTTCTGGGCCCCATCCCCCAGCCCTGGGACCCTGATTTAATGACTCTGGAATGCAGAAGGCATCAGGATGTTTCAGTGCCCCAAGTGACCCTAGTGTTCAGTCATGAGTAAGAAACACAACTTCAGATGGCTCTCCATGCTTCTCCACTGAATTCTGGGTTCTGGGGGAAGTAGTATTCTTTTCTCCAGGCCCCACAGAGTCTAACTGAAGGGCTCTGCATTAGTAATTGCTTGTTAAGTAGTAACTAAATTGGATCCATAAGGACAGAGAACCTAAGCTCCTCCCGCCCATTGCTCTGCTAGAGAACGCAGCGGGAACAGAGAGAAGACTCTGTGTCTTCAGGGAGCTGAGACACTGGTGACCACAGGAAGAGAGGACACATGACTGCTGAGAGAGGCCAATGAACCTAGTCACTCAGTTTCCCTGCCACACAGAGGCAGAGGAGGACAGCTTAGGTGTCCTCAGACAGGTCTACCCCAAAGCAGAGAAAGGCTGCTCATTCTTACGTCCCAGAGTAAAAATTCTCAAAGGCCTCTGCTAGTGTTCAGGGATGGTTCTGAAATAAAAAGACTGTTTAATTAGTAACTATGCCTAGGGTCACCTACACATGGTAATTTTAGAAGTTACAGATACACTGTGAAGTTATGTGTTAACTTGCACACTCCCGCGTAGCTGAACAAAACAGCCCACGAGTTAGGCGCTTGCTGCCTTGCAGCACACTCATCAGTTCTGTGTCTAAGCAGTTGACACTGCTCTAATGCTGACATTTCTTAATGCCTCTAAACCTGCATTCCTTCTAATGCTCTTAGAAACACACTTATCTCAACCTCTCCTTCAATAGCAAGTGAATAAATCTTTCATGTTCACCATATTTGTATAAGTTACACATTTAACTTTTTGAAACTCGCATGTAGTGGAAGCAAGGAAGGAGAGATGGATGGATGGATGGATGGATGGATGGATGGATGGATGGATGGATGGATAGGAGGGAGGGAGGGAGGGGGAGGAAGGTGGAAGGAAGGAAGGAAGACGGGAAGCTAATCAGATAAAGAGAAAAATCACAAAGAAGAGAGGTACTCTTGGGTGTGATGGTGCATACATTTAATCTCAGCACTAGGGAGGCAGAGGCAGCTGGATCTCTATTCAAGGCCCACCAGAGCTGCACAGTGAGACCCTGTCAAAAGAAAAACAAACAAAAAACCAGAGGGCACACATGCTGAACTTTGTGTCCTGTGGAGGGAGGGCTGATCCCAGTTAAGCTGATCAGTAGCTAGTTAGTTTCTATACCACGCAACATCACACCCAGGGAGTTTTAGAAACTATAGTAAGGGAAGCTGGAAAAATTCTCAGCAGATGAAGTGCTTGCCACACAAATATCAGACAGGAATCTTAGACCTCCAGACTACACATAAAAGCTGGTGGTCATGGAGGCCTGGCTGTAATGCCAGCACTTGGGAGACAGAGACAGGATTTTCAGGACAAGTTAATCAGCTGGACCAGCCAAATTGGCAAGCTCTGCTTCAGTGAGAGATCCTATCTCAGTAAGTAAGGAAGACCAGACCTAATGGCAGCCTCTGGCTTCTGAGTACACACACACACACACACACACACACACACACACACACACACACACACACACACACACCACACACACCACACACACACACACACACACACACACACACACACACACACACACACCGTATACCACACACAAGCACATGCCATACACACATACAAAAAAGAATTTCTAACAATTGGCTTTTTTCCTCCTGAAATATCCACAAATCTTATTACAAATATTCATAAGCATTCTCACTACATAGGAAGAGGATTCTTTTTTGTTGCTGTTGTTTTGTTTCTTGTTTTCTGAGAGAGGGTTTCTCTAAGTCGCCCTGGCTGTCCTACAAGTTGTTCTATAGATCAGACTAGCTTCAAACTTGTAGAGATTCACTTGCTTCTGCCTCAGGGTACTGGGATTAAAGATGTGCACCATCCAGCTAGGAAAACCATTCTTATATCTAAGATTTATTGAAAATTTTAATCAGGGAGTGGTAGTGTATGCCTGTAACCCAACACTTGGGAGGCTGAAGCAGGAAGATTTATTTGAAGCCAACGTGAATAACCTAGTGAGATTCTGTCTCCAAAACAAAAAACTTAAAAAAATTCAGCCAGGGGGTAGTGCCAGGACAGGCTCCAAAGCTACACAGAGAAACCCTGTCTTGAAAAACCAATAATTAATTAATTAATAAGGAAGGAAAGAAAATAAGGAAGGAAGGATCTGATCTTAGCTTGGGATTTTCAAAATGTTAGTTTTTCTCATATAATTTAGTTTAGAATGTTTTCTATAAAATGGTAATATGGACTGTAGCACCTAAGGTCCTTTTAGATAACAGTAGTAATTGGATTGCAGTGGGGCTATGACAACACTAATATTATCCATAGTTAATACTTCTTGTGGTCAAGGATGGCCTAAGTGTAACTCTCACAGGCAGGTGATAACTACTAGTAGGTTTCACAAGTGAAGAGCGTGAAGCTTTCCCTTAGACCCCACAGTTGGAAACAGTCATGACTTCAGGGTAAGCTTCATGAAAAGTCTTCCTGAGGCTAAAGTGAAGAGTTTTGGACTAGTTCCACTGGCAGAGGAAATCTCAAAATAGCCTAGCATAGACTCTATCATGTGGTTATTAATGGTGACTCTAGTGAAGATTTATAATGAAAAGGAGCAAGCTGAGCAGGATAAATTACAAAATAAAAAAAATTAAGGAGAAAAGGGGTGCCAAAAAGTGGAATGGAACTAAGTCCCGTATTCAAGGAGAAAAAGAGATTAAGGAATGGAATAAAGGGAGATGTGACTTCAGGGCAAGATCTCACCCAGCTAAGTTTCCAACTTTACAAGGGAATTGAAGAAAAGCTTAGAGCTTGTTGTGGTAATGCACCCTTTAATCCCAGCACTTGGAAGGCAGAGGCTGGTGGATCTCTGATTTTGAGGCCAGCCTGATCAACAGAGGAAATTCAAAGACAGTCAAGCTTAGGCAACGAAGGTAACAATCAAAAACAGAAAGCTGGTGAAGATGTAACTGAACAAGGGGGCCA